ATTAATATTAAAACTAACGGTAATAAAAACAACAATAATAATAACAACAATAATAGCAGCAATAATAACAGCAATAATAATAACAATAACAATAAGTATAGTAATACTTAAAGAATTAGTATTTTATACTTGATGAATTACTCCTTAAAAGTGTAGTACCAGTAAATGACTTGTGGCCGAGTTGACATGTGGCCGAGTTGAATTGTGGCCGAGTTGACTGTAGCCAAACTTTTTGTGGCCGAGTTGACTTGTGGCCGAGTTGACTGTGGCCGAGTTGGATCGAATTCCTTGTATGTACATTGCCACTGAGATAGGAACCTCCCGGCCTATTCATTTCCCTCCCTGTTATTGTATGCAAGGATTCGATTTCTACAATAACATCCAACCAATCAGAAGGATTGGTTTAAGTCTGGTGTAAGAATAGCACACCCTTCTTTATTTATAAATAAAATCATTAAAATCCAAATTAAACACATAGCTCTGTCTAGACATTTGATACAAAGCTGCCTAAATTATTACTGTAATGTGAAGATCATAAATATGTACAACCTATCGCACCGTCTCACAAGTTGTTTTGCTGCGTAGGCCTAGGCTTCCATCTTGAAGTCTGAGCCAACTTCCAAAGGCAGGCAAGGCAGCGAAAACTGCTGTCGCCCCCGTTGTACACATTTGTATTAGGATGTCTGAATTTAAGGCCAATTTCGCACAAACTGAGCCTAAAGCTGCACACAGTCCAGCACCAATGGACAAAAAAAGACATATCATACTTATTGAGTGATAGGTAACCTAATTCACAATTTATGAAACATTAAAAATGATATTTAGGGGCCCTAGGCTAAGCCATAATTGTCATGCCGCTAACTAATTCAATAGTCGAGCGGATGCAGTACTTCGAGCGCCGAGTGAATGTATTATTTGTGCGAACTAAAACTTGGACGAATTTACAGCCGAAACAGTCCGGATGCCAACAAAAATTTCGGATTGGAAAACTAATGGCCGTTTTTAAGCTGTCTTTTTATTCGCTTCTAGTGTGAATTATAAAGATGCATTGTCTGGAAAAAAAGTAAAATACCCGAAAAATTAAATTAAAAATGTGAATTTATTTTTAAGGATCAAAATAAGAATTCTTCAAATGCAGACAGATAAGAAAATTATTTTTTTTTTTGCTGATTGGCTATTTTCAACAAATACCCTTAAATTGTTATAGTAAATTAAGGGTCTATGCAAAAGAATACAGCAAAGGATTATCTCAATGCCCGTTGACGGGATTTTTTTACATTCAAATTTTTAATTGTAGATATGATTCAAATAGTTGGCTCTTCAGTGAATTTTTTCAAAAGGTTTTTTTTATGCTGATAAATATCAGGGGCGGATCCAACGTGCCCCCCCCCCCCCCGTTTCGCCATTATTCTTTAAAAATTTCAATGCAAATCAATTTTTTTTAAACCGCAATGTCATTTATGTCCGGCCTTTGTCAAAATGAACTGTAGGCCTATATGACCCAGACCTGCAATTCTATACCATTAAATTAAAATCATTAACTTAACAGACTTGTACAAAATTTTAAATATGATTTAATGCAATGAAACAAGCGTTATTAAAAGTTTCTGATAAAACTGAGATAATGAGGAATTTTGAGTTTCATTTGGACGGTGGCCTACTGGTGTTGTAATGATGATTTTTATAATATAAAATAAAAGTGAAATTTCCGGCCATCTAGATGCATTGTTTCTTCAAATTTTCACACCTCAGCACTGGCTACATCCATAATAAATGACTTTGGTTGGTAAAACGGGACATGGGGATTTTATTGTAATGAGATTCGTTCGACAACTGGTTCGACGACTTCGGCCAGGTGCTATCCGCAAAAGTGGTCTAGTTTCCGCTCGCGCAGGTAAGATTGTTTTGACTAGTCTTTGTTGTACAGATCCCAGACAGTAATTATATGCCCAAAAAATATATTTACCTACATATCGACTGGAGGAAATGAGACTAATATAATTATGAGCAGCTGTCACTCGCTCAGAACCAACACAACGATTACAGTTACGGAGGAAACGGTATAGGTCGATTCGATGTTTTCAAGTGAAGAGCGATGTTATAAATGAAAAGCTCCTTAAAACTGGATTTGAATTTCAGATAAGTAAGACAGGTAGGTGCCGTTTAGGCGTGGTGGGCCTACTCCCCGCTAACTAACAATATTATTTATTATGGTATCATTTTGTGACACCACCACCCTTCCTTCTTTGTTTATTGTATGTATTGTATGGGACCACTCATGTGCTTTTATGAAATCACCTTATGAAATATGCTAATTATTGATGGATCAAGTATACAAGTTAATTTCCACTGACCACGCTGTCATTTTTGGATGATATTACGAGTCAATTATATATAATTAAGCCAGTAGCTGTATGCTGTTAGACCTACCTCAACAGAAAGCAGGGGAGGCGCTAGCAGGGGTGGCGCTAGCAGGGGTCCAAGAGGATTCCCATCGGGGAAAGCTGGACCCTCCGCTTAGACCCCCTGTCGAGGAATTTCCAAGCAGTTCGTCAGGGGAAAATCAAATCTCGAGCGCCGAAAATACAATATGCATATAGCTGTCAAATTTTATGGAAAAAAATTTCAAAAACAGCATCTTTTTAACTTTTAAACATTTATTTTTGACTATTTTTTATTAGAAATGTATAAGAAAAAAAAAGATTTTTAAGTTAGTTTCCCTTTGGGCTTATTTTTGACCATATGATCAATATCATATATTACTGTATAAATGCGTTTTGTAAATCATTATCATCATCAGGCCAGATTTGAATACCATAGCACATACAATATGATACTGTACAAGGAAATTGTTTTGAAATTCATACAATTAAAAAATGATCAAAAACGAGGAAGCAAATAAAAATCTACAGTACAAGTTTGTTTAAAATCAGGCTCCGGAGGAAAAACAGGAAAAAGAGGCATAACTGCCCATTTTTACACCTTTTCCCCCCCAGTTTTTAAATATTCAAAAATCTGTATCTTATTCACCGTTGCTCAATTTTTGATCAAACTACTTTTTTCTGTCTTAGAAAAATCAGTTCTACAACGTATCAAAAATTTCTTTTCCTCCGGAGTCTGACTTTAAGTGCTTTCTATTGTTGCTGTACCTAAAGCTACTGTTGTAGCTCAGTACTTGACTTATGTAGATGAAATAACAAATTTTGTAGCATTTGGCATAGGCACATAAAAAAAAATTTCAGAATGTGTGGTAAAATACCATTTGTTACACGGACACGCATTTTCATTCCACGCTTAAAATATGCATACATTTGTCAGTATCTGTGTTGATGTATATAGAGATTTTAATTTTTAATAATAGCCTCAATTTCTATTCATCAATGTTGTATTGCTCAAGCTATGGAAAATTTATACCTCCATGCTAAAAGCACAGTTGACTTAAAATCAGGGTCAGTCTATACAATTCTATTTTTTTTTACTGTAGCCTAAGACTAAGCAGGATTCTATAGAAAATCTGACATTTTTGTTGGTAAACAGGGGCTAAAAGTCATTTTATGGGTTATATTAAAAAGTAAACTTTTATTTAGATTATTAATTATTAAATTATTAATTAAATTTAAACATTTACTGTATTTTTAAAAATGTGTAAAATATAACTGGATTTTTAGTCGGTTTCCCCTAAGAATATGGTTTGAACTGTAGATATAACCATATTTCTTTCATTCTATGCTTGTTTGACAAGTTCTTCCTTCCATGGCATGTGTAATAATTGTGCTTATTACATTTATGCAGGAGTTGAAAAACCCATTACCCATTACTAGCAGAATTTTTTTTTTTATGAATATGTAGAAGATGATTAAAGTTTCTGTGTGATTTTTGCTAGCTCGCAGGACTGAGAAAGGCCGTCCAAATTATCAGGAGACTTGATACCTCTGTAAATACAGTATTAAAAGTGGGGTGGAAATCCATGACCTTAAGGCCAAGTAAAAAAAGTAGTTTCTCATCCCATATTTTGGAAAAAAAGGGAGAATGAGGCTACTACTTTCGCCCTTTTGATTTGAAAGCAAATAAAAGTACAGTATTAGGCATGATTCATACCATATGTATCCCCCGAATACAAACAATGGGAGAGGAATTTTACTGGTGTGAGTTAGCCAGATTCTCGTACATTTAGTAAAATATAGGAAATAAAAACAAAAAATAAATAAATAAAATTGGTGAGGCAGAGAACATGGATGGACGAGGGGACGAGAAACTATTAATTTTTTTTATTTGGCCTAATACCTAGGCTTTGAACCCAGGACCATGGACCCTGGGATGGAAAACCAAGCACCAAATCTACCCATATAACATTCCTCTTTTAACCTAGGTAGGTGTACATTAAATATGCTGGTATACTGAAGGCTTGTGTAAACAATCTAGACAAGGTTAAAAATAACATTTCCTTGTCTGTGTGTACACTGCCAACCTATTGTTCTGTGGTGAAGTACAGTACAAACAAGTGTCTGGTAGAAGGTGAATGGGTTTTAAATATTCATGTACAATAAAGTATGATAATCTAATTGTTTGTGAAGATTGCTAACTGTACCAATAGCTTGGTTGAGAAAATTCCCTGTTATAATCCATTGTTGAAATTTAACATTCAGAGTGAGTGTAGCTTGGTGTTTAACCGAATCTTTTTTTATAAGGAAACTGTAAAATTTTGACCAGACTCAGTGTTCTTTTTTTCTTTTTTTTGTCTCAAAATGTTCTTATTTTTATCTTATCTTTTTTTTTTAATTTTCAAACAGACAAAAATATTACTGTACAGCAGTATATTACTGTACTGTATTATAGAGGGTGTTAGGTACAGTTAAGTTTGTTGGTTTTCCTATTTAAAAAAAATAAATAAAAACCTCATTTGACATACAGTATTACCTCTGCCTCAATTTGGTCTTATTTTGGTCTTAATTTTCAGGGGCGGATCCAGGATTTGAAAGAGAGAGGTTCAAAATGTTTTCTAAAAACTCCAAATTGAAAGTGGGGTCCTCCCCCGGGAAAATTTGGATTCCTATATGGCCGGAAATGAGCTTTACCGACTTCTGAGGTGTCTTTAATAATGACCTTTAAATTCTTCAAAATTAAAGGTTTTCCCCTCTTGAAAAAGGTCAGGTAATTTTATCTCATTCTTAGGCATATACATAGAGAAAAAAAATCAAAGACATATGTAATATATTATTATACTGTATGCCAACGATATTGAGCAGTTGGATACAGTACGTAGCCTTTCTTCCGTGGATCGATGAACCGATAGACCTGAAGAACACTCTTTCGTACATAAATTATTACGACGTCGATGTTCTATTTAATTGAAGGCTAGTTGGGCTATTAAGTCTTGTTTGTCCGATCTGCCAACCTACTGTATGCTTCTAGGTAGGTAAGCATGCATTTTGTAAGCCAGGATAGAGTAGACATATTTTGTTACGTTTCTTTACAGAGGGAGGTTCGTCCGAACTCCCTGAGCCTCCCTGGATCCGCCACTGATTTTTAAGCGATTTCAGCCTCAGTATTGTGTTCATATAAAAAAAAAGTGTATGAATTTTCTCTCACATAAAAACATTTTGCTTGTTGTAACACAGCAACACATAGTTTCATCCTGTTGTACATGGTGTTTTAATAAGTGAGTGAATGAACATAAAGGTTTTATAGTATGTTGTGATTTAACACCAGGGGTCCCAAGTTGGGAGAAGCCTTTAGGATGATATGGTTTATAGCTTTCCATATTTTGCTGTATATGGTGATATTATTATCAGTAAAAAATCAAACAAAGGGAAATTATTTCTCAGAAACGTGATGACTATAGTCAAAAGAAATAAAAAATGAAAGGTTATTCACAATTATTTCATAGGTGGAGGTTGAACATGGGTTATGACCTTTACCTTATATATTATGAGTGATTAACTCACAAATCATTATCAGACTGTTCTTGTGAAAATTTAAATCAAATAAAAATCTTAGAGTTATTAAGTTTAAAAGGTTCCTAATTTTCAGTATTAACACATTTCTTGAAGAAGTACTCAAGAATATAATATTTTAGAGAAACATAGATCTTATTTAATTTTAAGAGGTCTGCAAACTTTTTAAGGGAAAATAAATTAATTTATATAGTAGGCCATGAGATAAAATGCAATTTATTTTACACCTTATTGTAGAAAAACATGTTTTTTAAAAATGATTCAGGTATTGTATTGTCATATTAATACACTTTATCTAGTAGGTTTGAACTTGCTTTGAACTACATTTGTCGGTAGAATGAAAACTGACGACAACAACTTGTATCCTGGATAAAATTATAATAAAACCTAACTTTCTAGAATTAGAATAAAGTGTGCGAGTAATACTATAATCTAACTGGTATGCTTATTTTTCAGGCTAATAATACTCTACCAAAGAAAACAACTTGTAGATTTCTTTGACAGCAGGATTATCCAGTATATGATGGAGTGTGCTTCAACAGAGTCAAATAATGACCACTGTAGCATCAAAAAGTCCAGTCAGCCAAAGGAGATACTTTGCGCATTGAACACCATGCGAAAATCTGGAGACCTAACAGATACTGTTATCCACGTAAGCGGTGAAATCTTCCATGTGCATCGTGCAATACTTGCTTGTAGTAGTGAATACTTCCGTGCAATGTTCACAAGTAATCTTTGTGAAAGCGTCAGTGGCGTGGTACACTTTAATGACCACATTGACCCAGAGATTTTTTCGCTTTTAGTTGATTTTTCGTACACGACCGAAGTAACAGTAACAGACACAAATGCCCAGGCTTTGTTAGAAGCTGCTTGCCATTTACAATATAATAAAGTCATCGATGCCTGTTGTGACTTCTTGATTGAAAACCTAGATCCGTCAAATTGTCTTGGCATACAAAAGTTCTCTGAGAGCCTTTCCCTATGGGATCTCCACAAGAAAGCACATGCATATGCCTTAAAGAATTTCACTAAAGTTGTTAAGCACGATGAGTATTATCAGCTAACGCATCTCGAGTTACAGCGATATCTATCAAGTGATGAACTGAATGTTGACAGAGAGGAGTCCTCTTACAAAGCTATTCTTGCCTGGATCGAGCGGAATGACTCGCACCAATTATTGCCACCACTTTTGTCTTGCGTCCGTCTGCCATTCGCAAGACCAGACTTTTTGCTGGATCAGCTTGATAATCCGCTGATTAAACAAAATCTTGAGTGTTCAAACATGCTTCGCAGTGCACGGAACAGTCAGCTACGTTTACGAGAAAACTATCTCTCAGATTCTACCCTTATACCGCGATATTCCACCAAATCTGAAATAGTTGTGGTGGTTGGTGGTTTCTCCAAAGATCATAAATTTGTACGCGATGTATTTTACTACAATCCGTCATCAAATCGCTGGGGTTCTCTTACACGACTGCCTAATTTAGATATATATGATTTTGCAGTAGGAACATTAAACAACTGTATTTATATTTCGGGAGGAGTAAAGTCCCAGAAGTTTAGCAATGATGTGTATTGTTATAATGTAGATGAAGAAAAATGGCATTCATGCCAAAATTTTACAATTCCACGTACTCAGCACTCATCCATTGGAGTCAATGGCTATTTGTACATCATTGGTGGAAACAGAGGAAATAAGGTAGTGGACACGGTTGAACGATTTTGTCCAGCTGACAACCGATGGGAAGTCGTGAAGCCACTACCAATTGCTGTTTCATCTCCAACCGTCGTTTCACACAAACTTAAGATTTATGTGGTAGGTGGTATTCTTAACCAGTCAAACCTGTATCCGTACATGCAGTGCTACGAAACCATCAACAACACATGGAAAATTATAGAGACGGTGAACATCCCAAGAAGAAGCATCCCTGTTGTAATCGTTGATGACATCATCTATTTCATGAGTGGATGTGGTAAAAATGGGATGCAAGTCTACGACATCAAATGCGATGCTCTACTGCCACCTATGTCGATGTCAAACCATGAGAGAAATTTGTTTGCGGCCACAGTTGTGAAAGAGAAGATCTACGTTGTCGGCGGTAACAATGTTACGTCTAGCCTTAAATCTTTTGATCCACAGACTAGGGAGTGGTTAAAAATTAGCACAATGCCAAGTGCAGTGAGGGCTAATGGACATTGTTTAAGCATTCATAAATACTTAGGCCCACCATTTTCAAGCAAGTAATCGCCAGTAGTATTTTAATTTTCTAATAAGTACTTCGCTCAGTATAAAGAGAAGTTATGAAACAGAGACTAATTCACATGTAGAAGCTTGAACTTTTAGCCTAACTTTATAGAAAAAAATCCTAAATTTCAATTACTGTACTTTTATTTTAGTCCATATTACACCATCAGTTTTTATTTGGAACTTACCTTAAAAATCTTTTGTTGAATGTAACATCAAACAATTCTTTGTTTAAAACCCTCTGTAAACAGTGGTGGCTCTAAGTACTAAAGGTGGGACAAAAAGTGTTCGACAAGTGTATGACAATTTCCAACAGAGACCATGGAGTTAGTGTCTAAGATGAAGTCCTGAATGGGGTCAGTGAAGCTAAGCTGCCTGGCTTCTAGAAAGACAGGGAATTCTGGGCCAATTTTAAGTGGTTTGGAGAAGTTTTAGAAGGTATTACAGGTATGCCCATTGCCCAAAGGATTTTGTTTTGAACAAACAAAAGTAGCTGGCATCAGTTTATCAGGTAGCTCAGACACAAAGTGACCTTTAATGGAGAGGTTACTGTATGATCAATGTGCACATTGAGTGTACGATTAATCCGCACATTGAGAACTTTAATATAAAGTGCCTATAAACCCACCGGTAACTACATTTGTAAGAAAGCCAACAAGAACTTGAGATTTTTTTTTAGACTTAATAAAATATTAAGATAAAATATTTATGCAATTATCTTAAAATATAGGTGCTAAATATAGCATATAAGCATGACATGAAATATCATATAGTATCTCAAATTGAATAATTAATAATGCTTAAAGCTTGCAATACTGTATTTTAACATTTATGTGTTTTACTGTTATTAAATTGTTTGAAACTTCAAATTTCCAAAATAAAAAAAAAAGACTACTTTTGAGACCGGGGTTTTCAGTGTCTTAGCAGCTTTGGTCTTTAATTAGAAAAATTTTTCTTATAAAAATAAAAGATACATCCATTTGAAGCTGCAGAAAGGTCTTCATTGGAGGTTGTATTTAATTGGAGGGGTCTTTAGAAGGAGACTGTATATCGTCCAAATCACTTACAGTACAAAACATGTAAAATTGGAAATTTGTCTTTTGTTGTATACGTTAGTATTACAGTAAGTCATAACCGTGGTATTACAGTACGTATTGTTGCAAGTTGTTAATATTTCATATTGATATTCAGTGGAGCTGGTTTCCATTGAATAAACGTTATCTCTCATATTTATTAAAATTTCCAGACATGATGATAACTATCTACGTGTCATGTTTACATAATGCATGATAACAGGATAATATAGTAAAAAGTGGCATTTGAAATGATAGATAGGTACACAGTAGATGAGATATGGCATGAACAAATTTATATAATTTCTGAATTGCTTCCTTGGCATTAAAATAACCCCTTGTGGTTTAATTGACCAAACTTTATTTCTTTTTAATCTTGATATATCAGGGGATAAAGAAATAAAAACAATCTTGGTATATTCAAGATTTTTCGTTGTTATGCATGGCCAACACAATCTTTTACTGAATTAATTTTATTTTTGTGCTGTAATATTTATTACAAAATCAGAATTGTATTTTTTAATGGTTGGTGACCAAAAAAATTTAGCCTATTGATTGAGCAATGTTATAGCAGCTTTGATTTATAGTTGCGAATGAAGTGCTTTCATGTGACATTTTACACAGTAACTGTCCATGTTTGTTTGTTAACACATAAATATTAAGTATACTATAGTAATAATAAGCTATGCTATAGAGCAGATTACAAAAGCTATTGAATGCTTTGCTTTTATGTACAGTCACCCATACACAAAGAGGAAAAAAACAATTATTTATAGATTCATGAGATAGTGTATGGTGATATGTATGCATGGATCTTATAAATGTTCTGCACCAAACTATACTGCATCTGATGAAGCCAGCATAGACTGCTAGCAAAAGCTTGTAATAAAAGCTTGTATTTTAATTATTTTTCTATATTAACTTAACGCGAGTGTATTGACGGATCCATATCTCATAGCTGTATTTATATTGTTGTGACAATAAAGTTCTATCATATCGTATCGTATCGTATAAATCATTTAAATCTATAAAGTGCTACCGGTGTTTTATATTTTATATGTCAACTTGACTATAACATGCCTCTATCATTATACAGTGTTGCAATTCTGTCCATCTTCAATTGTTCTAATGATAAAAATGCAATAATGCCAGTGTTCTGTTTTTAAAAGTCAGATATGTTGCAATTAAGAAATATCAAAATGTGATATGCTTTTTTTTTGTGATTAACCATGTTTTATTTTCTATGAACTGATTGGGAAAAAAAGCAATGTCTTGTTCAAACACATGTGTGTACAGAATGTTTAAAACATGAAAAATATGCTCAAGACAGTAACGCTAAAGTTGTTTGACTTGATACAGTATATTTAATAAATGGTATCTACATTGACCAAGCATTGCCTATAACGAATGGATCATGTCTCCTGCACGTATTAGCACCAATCACTAATAACTATATACAAAGACATAATGAGGAAGAAAGGTCACATCAGGAGACGAACACTTATATTAAAATAGCGTATTGATTTTGCTATTATGTAAGGAGCTTGGGCACATCCAAATGACAAAAGGTATATTCAGATCATTGCGGTCGAGAACTAGGAAAACATACATCTAAATATCAGGGTTTTGAGTAGTAGGACTGGAAAGAGCTCAACCGGCAGTCATTGGAGGCATTACATTACTTCTCCGGAGCCATTTTCAAATTAACACGTTGGCTGCCAGCGATAGTCATCCCACAGGGTGTTGCTGTTGTGTTACCGTACGTTACCGGCAGTACACTCAAGCGGCACAAGTGGGGTCGCCCTTTGAACATATACTAACCCATGCAAAAAAGTGGAAAGGAAAACTTGCACTTGGCATAGGCAGTAAAAAGTGCTGTCACAATGCCGCCGACGAGTGTGCTCGTCCCTTAATATTTTGATTATACAGTATATGACTAGATAAAATTTCAAAAAAGTGATGTTTGTACATGTAAGCTTGTTTTGGCACATGGGAAGAAACCTTAAAAAAGGTTTGGCAGTCAACGTGTTAAAAAAAATTATACAGTTCGGCTAAATAGTGTACTGGAAGTATTACACATTTTACACGGGAAATTAATGGTAAATTATGGAGTGGAGGAAATAATTTTATTGCTTCCTCCAAACTACCACTGTAGTGTACAGATAAAGGCAAGACTTGTTATACATTGTTTCATGAACTTATTTTTTTTTAAAGATAGTCAGAGGAGGGCAGAAAAAAAATAAAAATAATTTTTTTTTCCTTCTTTAGCAAATTGTTTTGCCAAAAACATCCAGACAGACGAGAGCATAAAAATAAAATGTTATTGGTGAATATAAACAGTGTAGTAAAGTGCTGTAAATTTACGGTATGTTAATCAGGAAGAAATATACAATTACAAGGCAGCGGCATGTGTAATAATAAAGATTTATTTCTGAAATTTCCATTTATTTTTATTTTTTTGGCTAATAGCCAAAATTAAAATTTTATTTTCATTCAAAATCATAATTGGCAAGTGAATAGGCTAAACAAGGTATAAAAAAAAAGTCACGCATTGCCTTATGAGTGGGCAGCAGGTGGGTTTGATTGCCATAATGGGCTGACTACTAGCTGCAGTATTATTAAGGATGCATTCCTTGCATTTGATCATATGATCAATGTTGTCATGACTGTAAATGCATCTAGAGGCCTTGGAAGTATTCACTATGCACAGTAACAAAATACATTAATTATAATGAGTTATGGTGTTATGTTTGTTTTTTTGCCCTGGTAGTATTAAAAATTATGTCTAGTAGCATACAGTAATATGATACATGGTATTAATAATTATTAATAATCCATTGTGTCTAGTTGCAGAAGAAGGATTAAACCTGATAGTTAAACTATGTCAAAATGCTTAAAATGGGAATTGGTCTGTATTGAATTACAAGCACAAACTACAAATACCCTCAAGACAGTGGTAATTGTAGGAATTTTGGAGGATATCTGACTCTTCGTCCGGGAATTTTTGGCGCTGGTATTGTTTTTAACTACTTCGTACTTGAGTGAAAATTTTTAGCTCGGAAAATATCTAGTGCCTGTGTGGAAGTTTTTTTATCCTCCACTCTATATCCGACAGGCTGCATTTTCATTTTTACAAACCGAAGCCTATCATAGTTTATGTTGAAAAACAAAGGCTACGTTAAAATAGGCATATATTAGGAAGACTTGCAGGCCTATAAAGAGAAATTGAATGGGTGAGGCTGTCAAATTTAGAAGTACACAATTATGTTGGCTCACCGCTGGTCTCAACAGATTGGAAATGGCCACCAGCTTAAAAATGTTGAACACCCAGGTTCTACGATGTAGTGAAGGGTAGATATAAAGCAGTCCCATAGCAAAAAAAGTGGGGGGGAGGGCATAGTTCTAAAATGTCAAAGCACAGGTTGAGATAGAGGATGAACAACTGTCTAGCTCACAGAGAATTCTGTGAGTTCTACAATTTATTATGCTCATTGAATTAAAATTTTGGTTCAATTAGATATCACCACAAATGATGTATGTTCAATATAACATATATCAGTAAGTACAAAGATGCTTTGATAGTCTTAACAGGATATGATTCAGTAAGCCAACAATCATCAATTTTACTTTCATATTAAAATGATCAGCAGGTTAACTAAAGCTACAAATCATTTAATATTATTAATATTCTTTCACACTGATCAAAACAATAAAACAGTAAAAATAAATTATGTAAATGTAAATCAGATTTTTCATATATATTTATTTCTTACAAAATTAAAATCCAAAGAATATTTTCTTTCTTTACATACAGACATGTAAACCACTTGCTTGAAATCTTTCATTATGTAAATTTCACAATAGAAAATGGAAAATAACATCCTGAAACTTTATTAATGTCATGGATAACCTTTCACTTGTCGGTGGGAAGTCATTTACTGTATAAATTATTAGCATGTTTAAACACCAGCTGGACATTTTCTATTGAATTTGTTTTAATTTGCCTTTTGGTAGGCCAGTCTGTTTATTTGTAATTTAAATATTTTTTTTTTAATTATTAATCATTATACACTGATTGTATTCTTATTGAGGCTGATGTTTAAAGCAGGGCTTCACACTCGTGTGGAGATTTAATGCCTTTATAGATACACAAAAAACATATAAAATATTGTAAACAGTGCATTAGGCTTTTTTTTTATAGGCAGTGTTTCCGTAGCACCTATAATTTCCTGATAAATTATCTTTAAATTCCCTCTAAATATTTTATCCCATCATGCAAAATTATGGATAAAAATGCAATGTGTTCAACATCAAAACAGCCGTTTTTTTGACCTACCAAGTTACCCTTTTTTGTGCAAGATGGATAGGCCTAGGCCAAGTACTATTTCACTCTGGGAATAGATGGCATAAATCATGCACTTTCCAATTGTTTTTTGCAATGCCAGCAAATTTGAAAAGGTCCACATTTACATTTGAGTCGAGAATGTACTTAATATAAAATTAGTGATTTTCTGTCATTTAAATACAAATCTTAAAGTTTTACATTTTAACCAGTGATCTATTCTGCCGTGATTCGGAAAAACACATTTTATTCATTTTGAGTTTTTGGCTTAGGGGCACCTTGTGGATGTAATCTATCGTGCGAAAAAAATCATATACCCAAAACAATGTTTAGAAATATTAAATTATTATAAGAGTTACACATTATATCCATCCACCCAAGCAACATAAATTGGAAGAGAGCAATATATCCACCAAGCATTCGAAAGTTGGCAATCGTTAGTGCGTCAATAAAACATAAATACTTGTAATTTGGATATAACTTGATGTGTATGATGATACTGATACTGTATACAATTAAAATTCTCGACAACTATCTATGCTGAACATTTAAAGAGTGGACTTCCTTATATTTGGTCATATTAGACTAGTACTTCTTGGAATTTGAATGCAATCAATCAAATTCTCTGCACTATCTATCCCAAACATTTTTAATCAGGTTAGACTTCCTTATGATTTAAGGAAATATAAATGTATATGGGTCTGTAGCTATGTGTTCTATGTTTATAAGTTTGGTATTTATTTTATTAAGTACAAGACGTGTTATTCATGGTAAATTTCAACATTTTAAATAAACTGATTATTTTTCGTCCCCAACGTGTCCCCTTAATAGGGGTTTGGCAATAGTGTTTCTTTTTTCTGGATGTAATTGGCTGAATTGAATTATTTTTATTTATCAGGCATGCAAGATATAAACTAAACAACTTAAAACAAACATAAAAAATAAATAGAAATAAAACTTTAATTAATAAGTTTATTAAAAGGAAAGAGTGGCCATTACAGGAAAGTATTGTTTAAAAGTTACCAAATCGTTATGTTAACATAAGGTTGCGGCAGCATTATTTTGTTATTTTAACACCAAACTGTACGTTACTGTACAGTATTACAGTACATCATTTTTTTTAGCTAATGGGGTATATTCTTGATTTATGAAATTATCTGGCGGTTGAAAGGTTGGTGGGGGACATTTGTTAGTACTGAGTTGTTAAGCAAAACTCATAGCGAGTTAGTAGAGCATTACGTAAAAAACATAGGTCTCTAGAAAAGTCATGAAAAAAAAAATAGTTTATATCATATGGCTGGGATCAATGTGGTCTATTGTGTTTGATTTTATTTACGTATTTCTATTTAGCATTGTTGCGTGGACCGGATCAAAATTTTTGGAGGGCCGGAGTTGGTCAACATGCCGGGGGTTGAATACCAGGGCCCTAGGCCTACTAACTACTACTTGCCTTAGAAACTAAATACAAAAACAATTCTTTGCATGACAGTGATTTGACATCGGTCAAATGTTATTTTACAGGTTGATATTTGGAATCACGATGAAATGTAAAATGCACTAATGTATGCTTCAGCAGCTGGTGTTGCAGTGGAGTGTTGAATTTTCAACACCATCTTCATTTTCTGCATCAACATTTCAAAACAATATGTACATGCAAGGACTATGGTCATGAAAGCAATTCAATGTTTGGATTTACAATTAAACTTGCATAAGTTGAATCCAAAATGGCATTGAAAAATTGTATGGCTTAGATAAAAGTTGACTTAAAGATCGTTAATTAATGGAAAACACAACAATGTAAAATACGATTGACTTAGAAATTATTCAAGTTATGAAAGTCGTAAATAAGCATCTGTGTGTAATGTTTTCATTTGAAAATCAGAACCTAAAGTCTATGTTATAGTAAGACGTCATGCTGGGTCTGGACAAAATGGTGTATTTTAAAGCCCCATTCCCGGCAAAATTTCACTAAAAATGACTTTTTTTAGAAAATATGCATTTGAATTACTCCAATTATTATAAATCATGGAAAAATATTGGCATGAATTTTAGTTTTACGCAAAAGAATAAAAAAAATGAGAAATACAGACTATTTCTCATAAAATATTACCATTTTCTCGACATATTTTTTCTCACGACCTATCGCAAAATCAACATGAAAAATTCATCCGCATTTATTTTTTGTGTGGAACACAAAAAATCAAATTTCAGTCTTATTTTACATTTTTTTCATTCTTAGGAATGTCTAAATTCAGTTAAACTCGCAATTCCGTATTATATTTATGAATCTTTATAACATTATACAAAAATTAGATTTTTCTTAAAAATTGAAATTTTGCCGGGAATGGGGCTTTAAGTGTCGCCCAAACAGTAAAAAAATTAATAAAATAAATAATTATACTAGATAAATTTATTGCAAAACAATGCTCTTAGCAAAATTTGTACATTTCAACAATATATAGCCATGTCTAGCCTACTCCTATTGCTGTCAAGCAGGTAATATCTTAAAAGGCACAACAGCCAATCATCAGTCAGCAACACAACAATGGTGATGCCCAAATAAGGTTACAAAATTTGTCAGACATAGCAAACAAATGCTAATAGGAAAATTGTTTAAACTTGTGCCAAGCATAAAATCAAATATAAATGGGATTTAGCATTGCTTGATGCAATGTTCCTTGTAAACTGATGATCCATTACTGTATTTCAACGTCAGAATTTTTGTTGAGGTCAAGAATGATTTAATATGTAAGCTGCTTGCTGGCTTAAGCCATTGTCAAAATAGTACAGTAGTGTTTATGACCTTTGGTCCTCATCTTCCACAAGTATCCAATTATGAGTGCTGCCCTCCAGAGTCTGAAGACTTCAGAGACAATGATAATGTAACATAGACTGAACTTCTCCAATGGCAACAAGGTGAACTACGAACCTTTAGTTGACCTTCGACCCTCATCCAATGATATCGTTGGGAGTTTTATTGATGCATCTTTCAACAATGATGAGATCCCTAGCAAAGAAGAAAAGAAATTGTTAATCACTATTTTACAATGCATTAATGGAAATAACTTTATCAAAGAAATATGATGATGCTAACTAATAAAAAAAAAATGTGATTCAACAACTCATTTTTAATTTCACAATTAAAACATGCACTTAGTACTGAAATTGCTTTATTTTCATTTTGTTTATTGTTTTTATAGAGCAAAAGTAAACATTTTTTCTTCTAGATATTCTTTGAGGAATGGAAGATAGATGTAATCTCATCAGTATGCAATCTAGATCTATAAATAAACGGTAGCAATTATATGTGACCAAATAATGTCACCTAAATTTCAAACCTATTTTTAAAAATACTGCACCTTTTTCTTCTATACATATACAGTACAACCATTTTATTTCTATGCAAGGAAATATTATTTATGTGCTTTTTGCACAAGCACACACCTTGATCATCATCTTGAGCATTTTCACGCATACTCCTCTCAGCAGCCAGTCCCTCTAACTGCTGCGTGTAGAAACCATTAAAGTCTAGTCGGTGGATGATGTTCATCATGTTATGTTCACAGTTAGTTGTGCTATATATGCTCAAATTGTCCAGCAGGTCAATTAGAAGGGTTGAGAAGTTTGTGTCAAAGTTGATGATCGTTCGCTCAAACTCCTCACTGGCTATCAGTTGGTCAACATGCTCAGCTACAACCTTTAGAGCAATTTTAATAATATTAATGACAATAAAAATAATGACTGTATTGGGTATGATCAGCAAAGAACATGTTAATACATTTATTATGTCTGTTGTAGAACCTAAATTTCATCCATTGCAGTTTGTTTTTATCAAACTCAACCTTTATGCACTACATAAACACCTCAATGTAAAGTTAATGACAGCAGCACTTTTGAGACTAACAATATAGAATTTATTCTCTAACTTTCGTCCACACTTTGGACTTCATCATTAGACTGTGAAACACCTCAAGCAAACATGCTCTTATGAATACAAGATTGCTATTGTTAACTTTCTTCTACATTCAATGCATCAAAATATTTTGGCAAATAATTTTATTTTAAATGTTAATTTATCTATAACAACGGATTATATATTTTTGTAAACAAGTGGGTGTCAAAGGGTTTTAATTAATTAATCATTCTGAAGTACTATAATTACAATCTAAGTTCTATACACCATTTTTGCTAAATTTGAAATAAAAATTTCCAAGAACCTGGCAACTACCACTGGGGATATCCAGAGGCATTTCGCCAATGTTTATCTTCTTGTTGTAGCCTAGTCTTTAAAAACAAAATGCCAAAGCAGAAAAAAAAAAAATAGGGCATGTAAAACTTGCAGTATTTTTGGTTGTTTTGTTACTGCTGTTCTGCTGGATGTCCCCAGTGAAAAGTTGCAAGTCTTCAGACGTTAAGGGCGTTGTTTCAAAATAAGGCCGATAAAATGGTGTATAGGTGATTGACGCAGCAAAAAGGATAATAAATACCTATTTAATTGCTGGAAACAATCTCAGTAACCTCTTTCGAAAAAAGCATGGCACTATTTCAAACAATTTCATCTAATTTTATAGAGAATCTAGTTTGGAACAATTATCAACAAAACTATGAGGACGATGGTTGACTTGTGACAAAAACCACGCAACACTACGGCCACTTTAATGTACCAGTCATGATTGTCCAACAGCTGTAATTGGGTATTGAATTTGACCTTAATACTGACCTTTGTTGTGGTTTGTTTCTTTGCCTTCGCTTCATCTGCACCTTTACTTCCTTTGTCCTTTCCATCTTTCCTCCTGCTGCTGCCAGACTCAGTTGACATTTGGTTCACCTGAGCCTCAACATTCATACTGTGAGTGAAACGCTAAAAAAAAACCAAATAAAATCTAATAGAGATCTTATAAAATAATTTTCCGACTGACTCAATAATCAGATAGTTAAATTTAACTATATCATAATAGTATCATGTATGGCTTGGAAAATTCAAGAATTTGTGCATAGTCGTACAGCTAACCACAGGAAATGAATGTTTTTATTAAGAATCCAAATTAATTTTTAACTCTTACCTGGATGCAGTTGCTGAACGTGACACAGACCAGCATAAGTTTGCTGACAATCTTCAATAAATCAGGATTCGTGAGCATACAATCCTTCAGACACTTGTCAAGAAAGTCTGTGTGGAACTCTAACACATCGTCAATGTTGGAAACCTACAATTTTATTTCATTGTAATATTTTATTATTACTATTACAATATTAGAACATACAAAAAAGGATGCATGAAAATTTTATTTTTATTCACAGAAGGATTAACAATGTGAAAGAGGCAGTCTAATATGTTTATTTTGGTTTAATGACATTGATCCTTCTGACCTTCTATACCTATTAAAAATGCCTACATCAAGAGATATTTATGAAATTTATTGACTAGATCCACATGTACAATAATTATTAATACAATAAAATAATTATTAATGTATGAACATATAAAAAAAGATGTATGATTATTTATTATTAATATGAATTTATGTACCTGTACATCATATATAATAGTGGTGGTCCATCTTACCAGCTAATCATTAGGGATCCTCGATTATCTAGAGAATTAGATGTTTGTTTAGGGTGGGGTTTGCGGTCATTCAACCATAGTGGAGTAATGTCCCTATCCCATGAAGTACTAGTTACTATTGTATAGTATTTTTTATGTTTAATTGTGTTTGTACGGATATTGGCCCAAGATGGCACTAGCAGAAATTAAAGAAATTGAATTGAATCTGTATAGTGAAGTCTCTTTATAGGCTAGAAATGTGGTGTTGCTTGTGGTCGTGAGAAAAAAAGAATTATGACAACTTTTTGGCAATGACTCAAGGGAGGCCCTTAGGAGTGGAAGTCAAGCGTCGTAAAAACCATGCAGCAGCTCCACTGATCTTAACCAATCAGATTTAAAATGCTTTATACAGGCCGTAACCAGGGGATTTTGGGGGTTTGGTTGAACTCCCCCCTTTTAAACATTTTACTACTGTAATGGTATTTAATCATAACTTTTTTTTTCTATTAAAGAAGCACTTCTGAGTTAAACCTGACCTATAGGAAACCCCTTCACATCAACCTGGTTTATACGGGCCTGTTATAATGTCAACTACTAAGAGTTTGATTAATACTGTAACTGGCACATTCGAAATATAAATAAAATAATTATTATTACTTTGTCCAAAAAAGGTTCAACTTACACTCTTGAGACTTTCAAGCATCATCAGCCAGTTAGGTTCAATCACCTCAAACATCATGTAGTACTGCAGGTTCTGGACAAGATGCAGCATCCGCTGACGGAGGGCAAAGCCAGCTGCATACCACTTGGAAGAGCGAAGCGAGAACTTTTTGGCACTTTTGTTGCTTAGCCACACACTGCAGAGGGTACGTTCAACATGCTTACAGTAGAACAGGTGACGGAATAGCATCTGATATTTTGTGAGGGCCTGGTATATTAATAAATCATAATGAAAATTATATAAGCATGTACTTGCAGCATTCTTATTTAAGTTTATCAATAGCAAATATATTTTGTAGTCAGGTACCCTATCCCATTCCTAATACAAACATACACAAGATAAGGTATATGTCAAGTAAAATTGAATATCATTGTGGGGCTAGGGAGTGATTGTGTCAAAGACTAAGTAAATAACTGGAACTGTAAAAAATTGGCTTACAGTAGAACAGGTGACGGAATAGCATCTGATATTTTGTGAGGGCCTGGTATATTAATAAATCATAATGAAAATTATATAAGTATGTACTTGCAGCATTCTTATTTAAGTTTATCAATAGCAAATATATTTTGTAGTCAGGTACCCTATCCCATTCCTAATACAAACATACACAAGATAAGGTATATGTCAAGTAAAATTGAATATCATTGTGGGGCTAGGGAGTGATTGTGTCAAAGACTAAGTAAATAACTGGAAATGTAAAATTCTGGCCATCTTACAACATAATCAAAGGAGAATGCCTCTAACCCAGATATGTGAATTTCAGTTGGGTCCATTTCTTGGAATACAACTAGAAAATAAGTAGAAATGCATGGCAGCAAGGGAATATAAAAGTCTGCCTTTGTTCACTTTTAACTCCATATTAATATATTTATAATCATTTTTCATTGACTGGGTATCCAGTATAAAGAATAATCATATCCTACCCTAGTGGAAATGAGTCAGCCATTAATGATCATAATTTGTTGTGTTGTTCTCTCATTTTTTAAAGAAAAGATTGACAATTAACTTGAAATAATGGGGGGGACAATTTCATATAAGCCTAGATGTAATATACAGATGAATATGTATCCAGTAATTTGCGTTCAGTATATGCTGCTATGAAATACTGTAAAATTTAGTATTAAAATTTACAAGACGACAGTGGAAAAACCAGGAAAACATACCCCCAGGCCCTCCCTAAATCCACACCTGTTCAACTTAACTTTATTGAAAACAATTTCCAAAAGAGCCAAAAACATATGTTTATAATAATTAACAAACATGATGAAATAATTACAGTATATAAATCATAAAATTCCATATAGGCCTAGATCTAGATCCAATAATTTGTGTTCAGTATATGCTGCTATGAATTTTTTTTTTTTTTAAATATCATTTTATTGTAAACAACAATAAGGAAAACGTAAAATACAATCCTAGATCATGGCCCAAATGAGGCACACGAAAGGAGAAATGGAGAACAACAATGAGAAAAGGGCAAAAATCAGTAATTTAAAAAATTATAACAATCCTATTTAGTCAGTTATAAGATATGGAGGATTAATCCAGGATGGTTCGTTTTTCGCGTAATATATACTAAAGGAAGAAATTATGGCAAGTTTAGAAATATTGTCACAGAATTTTTTTAAATTAATTAAATTAAATTTTAATTAAATATTTAAAATTTAATATTTGTATGCTATTTTGTATTTTTCTTCTTTTTAATTAAAGACGGCGGTGGGGAAAACCAGGAAAACATACCCCTAGGCCCCTCCCTAAACCCCCCCCCCTGTTCAATTCAACTTTACTGAAAACAATTTCCAAAAGAGCCAAAAACATATCTTAATAATAATTAACGAACATGATGAAATAATTACAGTATATAAATCATAAAATAATCAGACCTTTCTCTTCTTTAGATTCAATGGAGAGGATTCGGAGCAGTTGAGTGATCAAGTCGTAGGGAAGCAAAATTGCTCTGCAAAAAACATAAAATCATTTGAAAATCAATAACAAGGAGTATTTTATTAAGAATAATTTTATAACTACAAAAGCCTTTAACTTTAAGAATAATTACTTTAGGTCATCCTTAAAGGGATCAGCATTTGCTTCACTCGTTCTAATTGCCAGTTCCACGAGTGATTCCAATCTTGCAGGCATTATTTCCTCCATCCCTTTCTTCATCTCCTCTTCTGTTATGTCCATAAAATGAACAAAAAAATCACCCTGCTCCATCAGAAAATACCGTTTGATAGATCTAAACAAAAAAAAGAAGAAAATTATGGAAATCTTTTCATACTATTAAAAAAAAACACTAAATTATGTCTTTTTTGTAAAGCTTGGTTTCCATTAAATTGCTACAGTTTTTTTCACTGCAGTTGCTACACTGTGTACATGTTCTTTATGCAATTAGGAATCTCTCCGATTCAACCAATCACTGCAACTGACAGCAGTTGTGATTGCGTGCAGCGATTTTATGTAATCCACGCTTAAGAAACAGTACTCAACATCTGGTGTAAAGTGTTGTTTAAATTGCTTAAAACCTAGCTACTATTATTATGTGTATTGCAAGACAGTACAGTATTAGTGTCTGCTACTTGGGCAACTCTTATTCATGCATCAAAGAATCATTTAAGTATGTTCTGAAGTTATTGTTAACATAGAGAATCTAAATTGTAAGAGAGTATTCAAAGTTTGATGTACATTATTGAGTTTTTGTTTAAAAACTAGTTATTTTGTGTTGTAAAATAGCACCGTATCGGTATTCATGACACCATATTCATACCTTAATTTGGCCATTAACTCTCGTTCTTCCATTAGTAGATCAATGAGCTCTTGACTGGCATGGTTGAAAGTCTTCTCAATCTGATCAACATACTCGCGTTCATTTAAGGTGTACAAGATTTCTTCAGCATGAGGGCACTTTGGACTTCGTCCTAAGTAATTGAATAAAAGTCAATAAATTCCATTTGGTGAACCCTTTCTTTAAATAAAATTATTAATTGTTGACTATTATTACTACCTATCTATATAAATTTTCACAATTCTGTTATTGTATATTTTGGAAATTTGCAATGGTAAAACATTCAAAAATATCATCAACACTAAATGAAGTTATTCTATCAATTCTGAGTAAGTGAATTAAAGTAGGGGTGCAGCTAAGGACACAAACAACTTGGACACAAGCAGCTTGGACACAAGCAACTTGCACAGCGAGGGTTTCGAACACCCGACCTCAAGATTGAGAGTCTGTGCCACAACCGTTGCGCCAACCGCTTCTACTTAAAACACTTTTCTACTGTAATAGTAGCAAAAAACAAAGCAAAAGAAACAATAACGTATCACTTACCACATTGTCTGATGACATTCAAATATTTGCCAGTGCTAAGAATCTTCTTAGCAACAGATTCGAGGAAGACGGGGATTCGATCTCTACAGATAGTGTACCGTTGTTCCCAATACGCATCGTTGTAATCCCGCTGAAGTTTCTCCTTATGAACGGATTCATTTTCCTCAACCATAAACTTTTTTTAAAAATTTGAAATATACGAACGTTGTTAAAATTATTTTCATTATTTATACACAAAAAAAATAAGTGTAAATGCAGGTACAGCAGAACTGATTGGTAATTCAATTAAGAATAGTTTATAAAATAAAGGGGTTGGAATGGTTGGAGAATAACCCATAAATTGTAGCGTCATTGTGCTGAATTGCGTATGGGCGTGGTCCATGACTATCAGCCACGCACTTATTCTTAAATATTAATTACAAACATACATAAAAATCATTACTAATTAGTGTTATTCTCAATGGTAATGGTATAATATTGTAGATGGACTTGGTGAGTGAATATCACTGCCTTTGAATGAGAAGATAAAATAAGAAATAACACATTTTGCACAGAAAAAAAAAATCAATACACATATTAATTCTTAACTTATTATGATACATTTGTAGGTAGATTATAATCATTATCAGCAATTTTCAATTGATTAATTTATTAATAGTCTATCTCATTATTAATGATGCCAATAAATACAATACTTGACTTATTAGTTATTAGCACCTGATCAATGTATTGATTTTCATTGATAGCATACCTCATCATTAACTTAACATATCAAACATATTGCCAACTCACCTTCAGTCGCTATTTTTAACACCAAACTCAAAACTCACCTTTTTAACATTTAAACATGCATAGCACTTTTATTTTTACTTTGATAGTGATACAGTACTTACTTTATAAATTATGATTATTATTAATTTTATTAATAATATCATTGATTATCAGTTACCAACAAGTGATCAATTTATTACTAGACCTACTTACTGATTACCTACCTCACAGTAGGGATCATTGATGATGCCTTTGTAGATCCACTTTTCCAATATCTCAAAGTATGGAGCACATGCTGATTGGGTTAGATACAGGCACAGATCCTGAGCTTTGGCATCTCTAGAATTTGAAAAAGAAATTAGTATTACTGCATTTATTATACAAGTACAGTAGTGCATTTGTTTGCCAGTTTTGCTCCCATAATAATTATGGATATATGTAAGTATGTTACATTTTCAAGTAATTTCTGTGTCATGAACTAAACAAAAATATCTTTTTTAGAATAATTTAGAAAAGACCCCATGTAAAAAATATAGATATCTACATACCACAGATTTAGACCAACCTGTGAACACTGCTTAAGGCCAACTCAGACAACGTAGCCTGACACAATATATCATCGTGTTGTGTCTGTGTGAGTTAAACGCAGGTGCGATGATTCATAATGATCAAGCCCTGGGCAGTCAAATCATGACGGCCTAAGACTGTCCCCAATGATAAATCATGTCGGGCTCAACGTACTGATTGCTGTCTGATTTGGCCTTAATACAGCATGCATAATCCTACTATGCCAACGTGGTCAGCAATTTACCACTTCTCGTCTTATTTGCTAATGGTGAACACTGTCCATATCGTAACTACAGTAAGTTTTAGTTGGAAGAGCATTTCTTATATACAACTCTATGTCACACACCCAATCATTGATGTTGTTTTCTCGTGCAGTAGGCTCAGGACAGATCCCCCAGAGCAGGCACCTCTTTCTACGGAGCTGGCGATGGAAGCTAAAATTTCCATTGTCTGCATGCAGGGTCGGATGTAGAACCAGAACCTCTGGAGTGGGAGATTTTCCAACTGGTACTGGTATTCCAACTGAGCTACAAGAATGGAATATTCCTGAAAGAAAATAAAGTCATAATAACCATTTCAAATGTGTAGGCAAATAGGGAAATACTGATATTGCATATAAAATTATTCAGCACATCTTGGAATGTCTTCTGGTGTGAATTATTCAAATGTTTTCTTCTGCCCGCAAATATACAAAATACCACTGGTAAAAATTAATTACAAGAATAAAAAATAATCAATAGCATTAAGAAAGGACAAATCAGAGAGTTAGTGTTGTTCTCTCGCAGGGTAACAGCGAGATAATGTTTAGTTCTTCAGCTGTTGTCTGTTTTATTAGTTTTCAGGGTTAGTATCAAAATTGGTGACCCAACTACAACAATCTGCTAGTAAATAAATTAAATTATTTTTGTGCCTAAAATTGAACAAACCTACATTTTATGTATCGCATTACAGGTCTTTCTCCAATTAAAGACAAATTTTGGGACTAGGAATTTCAATCATGGTCTTGGGCAGCTTTAGTCTTAATTAGAAAAATTATTAATATAAAAATAAAATAGAGGCAGTCATTTGGGGCCTCAGATAGGTGGTCTTAAATTTGAGGGGTCTTTAATTAGAAAAAGACCTGTATTTCTAAATTTCCAAACCACGAAGATGGTATTAGCAACTGTGTTGTTTGTTTTTTTTCTTGATGGTTTGGTTAGAAATATCGCTACATACATACCTTGATAAGGGTTCTCATTGCTTTTGAAAGGGCGTGGTTCACAAGACCATACTCAAAGGACACCTTGTCCTCGACGAATCTCATGATGATGGAGTAGTTGGAGCACATTGGTAGGATTCTGTAAACAAGTTCTTGAAGGGAGACATCAAGAGACTGATCGACGTTGAATTCACGAGGAGTTGGATTTCCTGGAGATGGCCTCACTAATATGTAACGAGCTTCACTTCCCTGAAATACAGATGCAAATGAGAACTTAAGCTTTTAACAAGCTCAACTAGGTGTTTTTAGATTTTATTTAATAATAATAATTCTTTATTGATCATCATTCAAATAGGAAATTGGAAATTCGTGCCGGGCCTCTGGAGACCCACTGCAGCCGCAGTGCAGTGCCACTCAACTTAACTACTACATAACAAACACATATGGATACAAACACTGTCCTTAACCCCCAACTCTCCACATGGAGGGTTATTCGAGCAGCCAATCGATCTGACTCCAATTCAAACCAGACACTGGCCAGGTTTGAACCGGTTTTTTCAGCATAAGAAGCAGGAACAATACCTCTCAGCTTTATAGTTCTGATAAATTAAAAATTATAGTTTTTACGTGTCTAGGCCCAAAGGTTAGATCTTAATACACTGGGCTGCCAAACAAGCAAAAGAAATATAATTATATTTACATCTCACACACGTTGTAAGATTCTAAACAAATACAGTGTTTTAATGACTAGAATTAAACTGTGTATTTTTACATAACATGCAAGAAAAATCCATCCTGATTTTTTTTTAGACTCTTCCTCTCCAGCAAAAATCTGATCATTCTTTATGTGGGACAGGTGGAATAAATTTTTTACATCATACTTTACCTTTAACACCAACAAGAGATCTTGTACAATGGACAATTCTTGTACTGCGATAGGCAGGTTTCCAAGAGGCACACTAGACTGAGCTGTACCCCTTGAAGACACAACAAACTCATCCGTCAAGTGAGGGCGCTCATATGCCCATGCAGCCATCACTGGGAGGTTAACAGAGGCTGAATGTGAAAACAATAATTATATGCCATTAAAATGTACATGGAAGCTATTTTATACTTATACTGTAGTACAATGAAGTACAGTATTGATATTTCTTATTTCAAAATAATGTTACCAAATTATATTTTATATATATAAGTGTTAAAGACACACTACCTTCATTAAAATCCTGAAAAACACTTCAAACATACTATAAAACATTGAATTGCTGATTTTTTTTTATCAAATAAGTTATATCAACTCTTTATTAGATATGGATTAAAACAATTCATAATTTGTTAATTTACAGACTATTTATAAAGATTCTTAAATTGATTACCAGTCAATTTAGATACCATTTACAGAAGAAAAAGTAAATCTGTGTGCAACTGTTAATTGGCAAGTAAAGTGTTTGTTTTAACTTTAAATTTATAATGACTTACTTAATTATACATTTATCTAAAAGCTAATTAAATATTCATTTATAATTTTTAAAAGTATTTGTTCAATACTCTTAAGCAGTGTACCGTTGAGGATCTAGAAACCCTTGGTTTGGTACAATATTTAGAAATGCGTGGTAAAACTGGCAGTATAACTTGGCGAGGAGGGACTTTCACTGACCACCTGAGCCTCACTGTGGTTGGGGCTGAGTAAGAAAATTTATGATTATAGTACCTCAGACTTAAATTTGTATACAATTTTCTTTTTTTCTCCATTTGTTTTATAATTTTGAAAATCTAGGACGACCCCATGCCGACTGGGTCCCCTGCATCTCATATAGTATATTTAATGAAAACCTAAGTTTGTTATAATTTATTGTATAACTGTACAGAAGTTCAGATTAAAAAGATATTAGGAATGCAAGACAATGCAAAATTACTGTAGGTATAATTACACCATTACATGTATGGGATGTATTTTATAGGTAAATCCTTTCCGAGCCACTGGGGCTCATAGGGCTGGAGCTTATCCCAAGTTTCTGTAGTGTGAAGCGGATGAGAGTTGTACTCCCCTTGGACGGGACACTAGTCCATCACAGGTTAGTCCCCAGCAGTTTGCTGGTACCCATTGATACAGCTGGGTGGACTGAAGCAATGTAGCTAAAGTGCCTTGCCCAAGGACACAAGCGAATCTGCACAACAGAGACTCGAAACCCCGACCTTACGATTAAAAGCCCAAACCTCAACCGCTGCGCCAAACTGCCACTAATTTATAGGTGAATAGTAAACCCTTACAGTTCTTCTTGGTCTGACGTTCCCTCATCATTCTACGGAGGGACTCTGATGTCTGCACCGGGCTGCTGGTGCTGGCAAATGTCAGGAGTTGATTGCGCAATTCTGACACTTCTCTGTCGGACATCTTGGATCCTGAGTGATGCAACGCCAATTTGTCCATCGGAGTCTCCATTTTCTTGGCGTTCTTCTCCAGTGTTTTAACGACGTCCCTATCTTCCGAGATCTTTGAGAGCAAGGACACCAATACATCCAGATCACGAACACTATCAAGAAATAAACCGGTAAAATAGAATGAACGTGACATGAATACACAGAAACGATTGTAATAAAGTAGTGTTTGAGAGATACTGTAAGAAAAAGTTATTTTGAGTCATGTATTCTTTACTGCATTATATTTATTTATTTCACTCTATTTCAAATAATGTATATTGTCGCTTGATATAAACTACATATTCTAAAACAAAACAAAAAATTTAAAATGCTTTCAGAAGTGGACCAGATTGCTAAATTCATATTGAATTACCATATAAAATAGTTTTCGACAAAATTTAAGATATTATAAAATGTGTGGTGGCAGCTTTCACATGTACTTGGAAATGAGTAATTCTATTTTTACTTTCTTTAGAGTGTACAGTAATAAGCAAAAATCTTATCCTTAATAATAACAATAATATTTATAAAGCGCACAAAATCCATTACAGTAGTGCTCAGGGGCTACAGAAGGAAGGAACCAAAACTTACAGTAAAACTAAAAGAAACCAGAAACAGCACACAATTCGATAGACTATACTTTAGATAGTCACAAAATAAACCCTTAAATGTTTAAGGATTAAAAGAAACTACATAACAATCTTATAAAAACTTACTTTTTGGATTTCAGTTCATCATATTTTTTTAAGAAATCCTGTGGTGTTCTTGTGAATTCTGCAATTTTTCTCTTTGCTCCATGGACAGATACTTGGGTTGAGACATACTGAGTTCTGTTCTTCAACAGCAGGTCAGTGTATATCTCTGGACCCTCTCCTCCTTTGCTCCTACACAAATGGATAAACAATTAAAGCAACATGAGTATTCAAATTCAAAACAATGCAAAATTGGTGTAGAATCTGATCTTAGTTGAGTTGGACAAACTGGTAGTAGTAGTTACTCTTATTTATGTTTATAAGCCATGAAAACTCGCACCTAGTGCTTAAAATATTGGGCAGATAGAGTACAAGCCGGAGTATCTAAGCATCGGCAGCCGAGAATTCTCAGCCTGTGGTTTAAACTCCCAACCACAATGTTCAGAACCTGAATGGAATACCTTGAGCAAAACCATCTTTTCCTTGATACCCGAGAACAGATTAATATTAACATTTCTTATTACTACAACACCTCTTGAAAATAATAAAACCATACAATGAAGGACATTCATAAGAATGATTGCATTGATAGTGGAAAAAAAAGTAAGCTAACAAAATACTTTTGTTACACGACTACCAGAGTAAAGGGTCCTAGATATGATTTTGTCAGCCGGGAAGGGGGAGGGGGAGAGTTTTTGATGTCGGCAAACACGCACCCCCCCCCCTGGGATGGGCGAGGTCACCGACTACCACTTCAAAATGCTAGTGAGAAACCTGAATATCTGTCTTAAGTTATCTAATTTCTATTCTAAATAGTTATGTTGTGTATGTAAAAATGGTCCTCACATTGAAGAAGCCATTACTCATGCACGGGAAGACAGATAAAAACATAAATGTAAAGACAGATGAATGTTTGGCTTACAACTTACCCCAAAAGTTTGAGTAGTTCACTAACATGGTGATGGACACGAAACTCGCTCATATTCTTAGTTTTCTATCTAATTTCCTGTTTTTCATTTAACTTTACACAGCCTGCAAAAGTAAAAGAGTCCAATAAATTACATAATAGATCAGTGTACCTTGAAATGAAAATTTAAGTTATAAATTTACATTCATAATCCTATAAAAAAATGTACAAAATAAACAGTGAACACTTCATCTCACATACAGTTATACGCACCTTATAAACTGATCATGAAAACATTATGATATATACGTGGCATTTGGTCTCACTAAAAGGTGCATACTGTCCCTAACAAATCCGCATAAATTTTTAAAATTCATAAACGTTTATTCTGAAAAATGTACAGTAAATGAAGCAATGTTGTGAATAGAGGGATTCGGCGATGGGCATCATGTGAAGTTGGGTGTTGGGTATAAACAAGCGACTGGCACAGTGGCGTTTTTCATGGAGATTGCTATTGCGGCCATTCCTTGTTGTTGCTGTAAAGATCATCATAATTCCCAGTAAACTATACCAAATTGATTGCAAATTAAACTTGAGAATTTTGCCTTAATGGTTTACTAATGCTGTTAAGAATATTGGCCGCAAACATTGAGATTTTTCGACAACTGTTAGGCCTAAGCCCTGCACATCTATGGCATGGTTAGGTAGGCATGATGGTCTTCGACCTGCGAACTACGCTGCAATGTTAGGGCTAGCTAAGGTTTATGAAGACCACTTGAATTTCAAAGCATAGAATCCTAGGTGAACGCTAGTATAAGTAAATAAACATATTTTGAACAATCATATTGCTTTTCCTAGCCATTTATTTCTCACAGTGGATGGTTGTTTTCGCAACCATAACATTATCTTTTCCTATACCATCGCACTGTAATGTTTTCCATGTATACCCAAGTTATTATGTCATGTGACTGGCTGTAAACAAACATCGCCAAATTACTCTATTAACCCCATAGTTTTGAAATATTTATGTGTGATGTTATGGTATTAATTTATTGTAGTTGAGAACCTAAGCTATTAGATACTGCAGTAAGAATTTAGGAACAAGGTAGTAGTTTCATTTTTCAGTGACCAAAATAGCCTTTGCCAATGGTATTTGTTGGAAAAATATTCTGATTTGCTGATCAAAACATGTTAGCATCAAACCCATCTACTGGTAAAAATTCTCAATTATTGCTTCTGAATGAGACAATGGTGAGCATCAAATTTTGTAGGCTCTGGCTGCATAATTTTAAGTGCTACTGTATCTTGTTGATTACAAAAACAATTATGGTCTGAGGGCCTAGCCTAGCTAGCCCAGCTAGCTAGGTATTATTTCTAAATTTTATTAGTCCTTATTTATAATTTTTAGTTTTATTTAGGGCAAATAGAAAAAATTCGGGAAATATTGATGTGGGGGAAAAAAAATAATTCCGCATTCAAACTGTATTTTTAACAGCATAAAAATAACAATGCAATTTTGTGACTTTTTCTTTTTTATTTTCTTTAAAAAAAACTATAAAATTAAACCAGTTTATATACAACACAATATTTACTATTTACAGACCGAATATAAACAGTCCCTCCCTCCCTCTTCGATTAAAAGACAAAAGCAAAATAATCTATTGTATTGTTTAAAAAAAAAAAAAAAAAAAAAAAAAAAAAAAAAAAAACCACCGTCCCTCATCAATTTTTTTTTTAAAGTGATAATCTAATCATTTTTTCTAGGCCTAGGCCTAGGGCTATAATGTGCCCTTCCTAGGCCTCTAGTCTACTACTAATTAATAGGCCTAGCCTAGCTAGGCCTAGGCCCCAGTCAGTCCTAGGCTCTAGTTTTACTCTAGAGATATGAAAGAAAGTTCAGGACTAGGCCCCTGGACCTAATCATACGGCCCTACAAACAAGCAGCACGTCGTCGTCCCTCCCTACTACAAGCTAGGCCTAGGGCCTGGCCTACCTAGCCTAGGCCAATTATATTAGAGTTTTAAGATGTCCTCTAATCTATCTATCCAGCACTGCCTGGCTGGGGGGCCAGGAGAAACAATGCAAGATATGCTAGGCTATTCTGGGTACCCTTACTTAAGTAGCCTCAGTCTGACTACAGTACCTGTGACTACTGCGGCTAATGTAAATCTAAGTTAAATATCGAATGGAATGGTCGTGAACATTACGTTTCTGTTTTGTTTATGTTTACGTTTATTTTCCCCGCGCTACTCCATTTTCCGACATCCAGGCCTTCTTGCAGCCGGGGACTTTTTCTCGTAAACTTTGACACAAAACACTTTTATATAATTTATTATAATAAATATGTTTAGTTTTTGATAATGCTAAGTTTATTCAAACAAAATATTCATAACTATTAAATAATTTTAAAAATTATTTAGTATTAATATTTATTTTGAGTAGAATGTAAATTCGATTAAAAAAATAATTAAGAGTTCGGATTTGGATCAATCGCCATATTTAATTTCACGAATTATTAGCAGCTCGGGAAGTCTTTTGGTCGTCTTGACAGTAATTAAATTTCATTTTAGAAATGTTATTGCAATTCTAAGACTTTAAAACTAATTATAAACCGAAGAAAGGGTTATTCAAGAATTGTTTCTATAACTTCGTTTATGCTGACCAGGTAGGTAGACACCTTGAGAAGCGTTTCTGATATGGATGTTTGGATGAAGCTAGTCTGTCCAGTTCTCCTACATACAAACAAGCCTTGTTTGGCTAGGTGGTTGAATTCGCGACGGCGTACCTTTTTACAAATACATCTAAAACGCTTCGTCTTAAAATTTCATATCAAATCAGCCGTGTAATGGCTTCAGATAATGCTTATTTTAAGTATTAAGTTTGCGATTATAGCTGATGAATAGTCTATGTTATTGGGTATCGCTGATTGAGATTGCCATAAAAATGCGTTTGCCAAGGACAAGGTCAGAGCTCCGGACGGCTGCACGTTGTGACTATGGACCTGGTCCATGGCATCATACCATTTTGTTGAGTTTTGATTTGCCGTGTTAACCACGCTTTTACGATTTAAACGAGAAGCCTTTAATTACTTTATTTAATTTAAAAATGAAAAATTGTAATACAAAAAAATTAACATAGTACAATAATTCTCATCGATCCATAATTTCATAAAAATCATGATTATTGGATTAATTTCATTCTTGAAAAAAGGTGGTCAGTAAAATGAAGTCATTTTACCAACAAGACCCCCTCAACCACAATCGATTAACAAAGAATGAACTGTCTTTGTCTGTTTAAATTCATATTTTCTTAATTTAAATATACAGTAATATTTTTAAAAAGCAGTTTAAATGTAATAATAATTTAACCAATTCACTTTGAAGCGAAAAAATTGAAAACTGATATCAGAACACATGAACACTCAACACTCAGTGTTATGTGGTTTTTAAAAACGAGTCAAGAAAATTTTCAAGTTGGCAAATTTTAAAGGTATGCCATCTATTTTTGGTTTTTTCGATAATATTAAGCTAAAGGTGTTCTGTCAGTCAAAACTTGAATGTCTAAAGATTCTTTTAATATTAAAAAACTTGGGAGAAGGATGTTAAGAGTGCCTCGACACAGATTACAAAGTTCAGTATGTCTGATTAACTCGCACTGACTTGAGACAACAAAAAATCACATGCTGAGAATACATAAAAATGTCTTGTTTATAAATTAAATTTATTTGAAAATAGGGTGTTACCAACAGAGAAAGCCGACGCAATCTGATGCGGTTTATCATCTGATCTCGTTTCACCATAAAATATTAACAATTTTTAATATTCTACCGCCGTTAACTTAAGAATGCCTCAACGCAGATTACAAGTTCCAGCGTCTGATTAACTCGCACTGACTTGAGATGACAAAAAATCACAAGCTATAGAATATATAAAAAATTGTTTAGAAGTTAAATTTAAAAAATAGCTTATTTTATACTCTGTTTTGCCCACAAGTACTGAAAACTTAACTAGATTTATCAAGAATTTGGAAAATGTACTTGTTTAGCTTCAAAGCCGTTTGACCATTGTTTCACTAGCAATTTTATTAAATGTGACTATAAATGTTTTTTTGCCTGTGTGCAATATGCGCCATGCTACAAGACGGTTGATGGCAGTTTGCATTAATGTAAACTCATTTAACTAACCTATGTTTTTTTTAACATCTCAGTAAGCCTCAGATCTTGTTGTCTTATTGATGATAATGTAAATTAAGCAATTATTTTTCTATTAAAGAAAAAAAAATTGGTCTTTAAAATCATGTGTTAAAGATGTACAGTAGTGTCCTGTGAAAAATGCAAAAAAAAATCATAAAATCATTGTTTAAATTAACTTGCTCATATTGAAGCACTATAAGATTATCAACTTGAACATGAATTTGTGTATTTAAAAATTGTTTACCCCTAATTTTACAGCAAAAAATGATAGAAACACTTTCCAGTTTGTGGAAATTTTTTTTATTATTACTTTTATTATTATTATAAAAATCAGGATACACATTTTTTTTTAAATTCAATAATTTCTATGCTCAAGCTAATTGTTTATGCGTTACTGCAAACTCAGCAAGTTAATTTCAGAATTATTTTTTGATTTTTTAATATTTTTAGGAGAAAATACATCATTAAAGCATGTACAGTACACCTTTGACTACTACCAATTTATTACAATGTAGTCATTATTTAAATTAGCTTCTTCAATGTGCATCTGATTTTGTATTATTTTTAATGCCACATAGGTAGGGCCAACCTTAAATTCTTTTTTTTAATCAACTTACTAACATCTTTGTGTATCAATGACGAACTAGTTTTTAGCTGTAATAACTCCTGTAGTATTATAAGTGATTTCATTTGGAAGGCTTAAAATGCAATATTGTGTTCAAAAATGGATCTTAATACAGTACAGTAACAACTTAATAGTAATTTTTTTTTCCAGACATTTACGAGGTATTATTGTTAGTTTAGTAGCACTTTTTATTTTGTAATTTTTGAACTGGCTAGCCTGACAGGGTTGGAATTTCCTAAAAATGCTACATCAGCAATAAGTTGATGGCCTCTGACTTAACTATCAGCAATTTATAACTGTATCCTTCTACAGTACAGTACAGCATCAATCAACACTTTTTATTATTTTTTTCAGTATCATTTTCTGTGGATGCCTACTGTATGTTAGGCAAAAGTCTGGGATTTACTACAGCAGTGGAATGCCCTTTCTACAGCAATTGCTGTAGGAAATTTTGAACACTGTCTGAGCACTCCACTTCTTCATAGAATCATAGCACTTGTTGTACTGCGAGAGTTGTTGCCTATTGTGCTACACTATATTTATTTTAAATATCATTCACAAAGAATACAAAAACATGTTAGTACACTGATCAAAGCACATAAACTAAGATTAAAGTCAGGCTTCGGAGGGAAAACAATTTTGGATATGTTGTAGAACTGATTATTCTAAGACAGAAAAAAGTTGTTTAACGAAAAACTATGGAACGGTGAATGAGATACAGATTTTTTAATATTCAAAAATCTGTATCTCATTCACCGTTCCCCAGTTCTTCATCAAACTACTTTTTTCTGTCTTAGAAAAATCAGATCTACAACATATCAAAATTTCTTTTTCCTCTGGAGTCTGACTTTAAGTTTCAATAGTTTTCTATTTTTATTTATCTTAGTTTAGTATCTGCTTTCCATTGTTCACACTTGTTGATTTAACAAGAAACTATCAGATAAATAGCTACTGTACGATGTGTGTTTTTTGTATCTAATTAGTAAATAGTGAAAGTACAGTAACGATTGATGATGCAGCAGCGGTTGCTGGCAGTGACTTAAAATAGTGATAGTTGTGGGCAATTGAAAGACTTACTGTTTGCAAATGTTAGACATGGATTCTGATGTGTAAAGTGTACTGTAACTTTTAACACCAGCATCCTCAGTCTCACAGTACCCTGGTTAAATGTCTACTCTACTGTGGTTTTGTAGTTAAGATACCTGTACCATAATGACAGTATGTTGGGTTTGCAGACAGCGGGGTTTTTATGTGTATTTTTGAACTAAAATGTAAAATTAATTGTTCTACAGTACATTCAGAGCTGCAAAAAGTGTGTGACTTCACGACCGGCAGTCGAAGGCATTGCACATGTACCCGGAGACCACCACAGTTGGACTAATATTTTGGGCTGGAGGAACTTATCTGGATAAATAAAAACATTTTTTCCAGGCCTGTCTGTGAATTTTCATCAACGGCAATGAACTGTATCTGTATACACTTAAACTACAAATTAAACAAACATTAAAATATAGTTAAAACATTACAACTACAACAAGCAGGGTGTTTTATTCATACATAATTAACAACATGGTATGGGGTCACTTAATTTGGTGTTGGCCTCATATTAAAGTTTAATTATGCATTGCATAAACTTACCACCATCACACCTTCTCATCATAAAGTAATGGGCAATAACAATAGAAAAGAATCGTTCATCATCACAATTAATAATAGGGGTCTTGACAAAGACAGGATAGCGTACTTAGATAACGTGCGACCAATCTTCTTAGTCATGAATAATTTTTCTCTTATCAAAACTAATCGCATGCATAAACTTTTTACCATCACACCTCATCACAAGGAATAATTTTGTTAACAAATACATTTTCCTAAACCAACACATTTTATTCATGCACGTTGATATTATTATTTTAATTTTAAACTTGGCAGTAACCAGAACAAAAAAATATGTCAACTACAGTACCAGTGTCATCCCTACGGTAGCATCGCAAACAATTGGCATAATTAATCAGAAAGCAGCCAACCCACACTTTTCACCTCCAAGTAGTGGCACCAGATATGGTGTTTTAATGAATTACCTGTTGCAGTATAATCCTGAATCTGTTGCAGTTAACAGTAAATTTAGCGCAAAAAATTGAACACTTTTTTTTTGTAAAAGGTACTCACTACAGAAAAGCTTCACTTACAGTAGTATATCAATGGTGATCATCACCAGAACTAAGAAAGTGTGTGGCTTTGACTTGGGGATTCAACTACTGAGTTTGGGTAGGGCTGATTTCAAAAATGGGTATGTATGCAAATGCCACTGGCTAGTACAGTAATACATACAGTAGCTCGATGCCTCCTGCCTCTACCGACTGCTAGACTGCAATACTGTACTTATTTAATGCTGTCCTCATAAATCTGCTTTCTTCGATTTTGTCCAATCATCGCTTGGTGGGTCCATCTCTGGCCATCAATTCTTCTTTCAATGACTGCTAAATGAACAGCCCCATCTTAGTCTGAAGTGGTAGCTAAGTCCCTTGTTTTACACCACGCAAATACTGTATAAAGTATGTTAATATAATATTACCTAACCAACCAAGTCCTACAACTAATTCCAACTTAAAGAAGTTCTGATGTTAATTGGTGTGCTGTATTCTACAGTATTAAAAAGACATCCTATCATACTGGCAATTCCAACATAAATTACGCATTATGTACTTGACAGTTTTACGTCTTTTGAATTTTGCTGTATTGTGAAAAACAAGAAAGTTGCACTTTCACTTCCATATTCATTTCCAGATATCCATTGAAAAATGATCATCAAAATTCTAAACTAATTTTATAAATTAAATTTTAAATT